GCTGAGGCTGTGGCAGGGGCCCCGCCCTCCAGCTCTGGCCTCAGCAGGCGGCAAGGCTTCCGTGTGGGACTGTTTAATGAGTCTACTTCTCACACACATAATTATAAAAGAATAAGAATCGACAAAAATATTTTCTTTCCATAATATGTAGAGGTGGTTTCTGTTTTTCCTTTTCTTTCTTCTGTTCCGTTCGCCTGATCTCTTGGCAGGGAGGCAAAGGGAGAGTGTGACCCCGCGGTGGGGCGTTTCCAGCTCCCAACCCCAGAACCTGGCACACGGGGGCCAGGCACGTGGCTGCCCCTGGGCTAGTGAGGGGCCGGCAGCCACAGGCACCCAGAACCACCGGACAGCACGGCGCCGGGGCGGCCCTGCTGCTCCGCCCTGGGCTGGGCAGTGGGCTCAGGCACCTCGGCTGGGCCGCAGCGCCGCCGTCCAGCGCACGCCCGGGTCTCATTCAGGTACCCCTTGCTTTCTGTCTTTTAAATAATTATTTAAAATGCCCCCGAAACACAACACAGATATGAAGTGGGTGGCCGGCGGGAGGACAGGCGTCTGCATGCTCCTGTGCTGGGGACGGTGGCTGGCTGGGGGTGGGAGGAGAGGCCCGAGCCACAGGGTGGAGACCCAGGGCAGGTAGGTGGGAGCCTCCCGGCCCCCAGTCTCTTCTGTGTCTCCAGAGCCCTGTGGGGACATGGCCTTCTCCTTCCAGAAGGCAGGGCGAGGAGGGACGACTCGAGGCAGTGCCTCGTGCAGAGAGGCCACCATCTCTGTCCTGGCCACCAAGAAGCAGCAAGCAAAGAACCCGGGAGCAGTGAGGAGGAAGACCAAGGCTTCAGGGCAGCGAAGGCAGCGCTCCCCGGCTCCAGGGCTGTCGGGCGGGGTGCTGGGAGGAGGCACCTCCACAGGGCCTGGGCCACCAGGTGCTTCCGGCCTGGTCCCCCGCAGGGGCAGAGGCCCTTGTGCTCTGTGTGGAGCTCCTGGCGGCTCAGAGGTATTCCTGCAGGAAGTGCAGCAGCGTGACCTCGTAGTGCTCGCCGGACTCGGGGCAGCGGATGCTGTGTCTCTCGTTGGGGTAGATCTGCGGGAGACAGGCGCGGGCTGGGTGCTCCGGGAGCCCACCTCTGACATCCCCCGGGGAACACGGGCATTTCCTGGAAGCGCGGGGAGAAGTCCAGGCCCCCCTGGCTCCTTGGCAGGGTTCAGGAAGTGTGGGTGGAAGGGGTGCCCCTTCCTCACCCCTCCCGGGCGAGGAGGCCAAGGTGGGGCCTAGGAGGGCGCCCTTACCCTCCGCCACTCCAAGCTCCAGGCCCCAGGCTGCGGCCCGGCACTGTGCCGGGGTCAGAACCAGCGGATGCCCTGACCTATGCTGCCCATGCCCGGCCCCTGGGCGGGGGAGACAGAGACACTGGTCTGGTTCCTGCCATAAAGCAGCCTTCCAACAGCTCCCTGCTGCCCCCAGGGGCCAAGGAGCAGGCCTCACACCAGGGAGCCCCTCCCAAGGACCCAGCTCTGCAGCACACTGGGGCTGCCCAGCAGCACAGGCAGGTGCCATTCCCCGCCTCTTCCTGCCAGGGAAATGGGCTTCAGGTCCATCCGTCCTCTCCAGGTCCTCAACCACCACCCAGACACTAGGCCACCCGCTGGTCTACTCTCCTCTACCCTTGTCTTTAATCCATCCCTGGGTGAGTCACCAACTAGGACCTCTGCCAGGACTCGCCAACCAGTGCAGCCCCTAGGGCTGCATGGGATGGGGCGAGTGCCCCGTCAGCTCTTCAGCCTCCCTCCTGTGCCCTCACAGACACTGACCCCTTTCTATCACAGCACCCTCCTCCAACAGGCAAGGCCATCCTTCTAAGGCCCCATCCCCAACTGACGAAGGCCAGCCTCCCCAGCCAGGCCTCCCCACCGACGCTCCACCCAATCAGTGGAGCCCTCCTAAACCCACCACACCTCACTGTCCCCAAGGCCACACCCAGCTGGCCCCACCCCCACGCTGCTCAGGCTGCTCTGGCCACTTGTTCCCCAAGCTCCTTCCTCCTACAGACCAAGTTGTCCCAGGCCTGGGTCCACAGGACTCGGGGACCCCTGGGTCCCACATGCCCCTGCTCAGGGGAGTCCCTCAGGCCCCGTGAGCCCTTGTAAGATCCCCACCTCCAGGAAACCACTGGACCCTGGAAGCAGAGACTTCCAGGGTCCAGTGGTCTGCTCCCAGCGGGTGCCTCTGAGTCAGCCATGGCTGTGCCCCTCCTGACCCAGCTGGGGGGTTCTGGGTTCCCAGCCTGAAGGTGGCATGGGACTCGGAGGCACCATACACAGCAGCGCGATAACCCAGGGACCCGGGGTCCTTGGGGGCAGCCGGGCTGCAGGAGCAGGGGAGGGTGGGCCAGGGCGGCGCTGGGCACAGGTAGCGGAGGGAGGCAGTGAGGCGGCCCCTGGGGCGGCGGGCAGCGGCTCACCTGGAGCTGGTAGGGCTTCCCGGCC